ATATAAAAGGTGGACTTAAGGTAACCACTTCAATTGTTGTCGTTACTAGTGGACCGATTAAAATTCTTTTTGTCATAGATAATAGGTTTCAAAAGGATCTTCAAGGTGATGACCTTAGATTTTTTCTGTTTCTTTTTTTTTTCAGAATAAGTTTTCAAGGCCATGTTCAAGTTTTTTATGCATAACCCTATGGTCTTTTTGTCTATTAGCTAGCAAGCGTCCTTTGAAACCGTATCATCTGTGACCAAAAACATTTGGAGCGGTCGACTAATAATGAAAATAATCGAGGTGGTCACTTTAGACGAACCACCCTGTATAAAAATCATGACTCTTTGCTACTTTCGCAGTGTCATTATGTCGGAATAATTTATTTGCGAAAAAATTGCTCAGGCGTTTGAAGAAATTATCATTCATTGGGGAAAAGTCTAGCGAATCGGAGAAGATGTGTCAAATCCTTCAGTTTCTTAGATTACAGGCTTCTCCGCTTCTGAGTATGTACTTCGAAAGAATGTTAGGAAGGAATTTGAAAAATTCAATTTTATATAATAAGAACAAGAGTAATAATTATTCTCTCAATTGTTAGGGATAAGAATCATATATAAGAGAAGAATAATGTGGAACAAAGGAATTATTGAGGATAAGAATAATTATTATTCCATCCTTATTCCAAGAATAATAATTATAACTCACATAACTCTATATTACCAAAAATATGCACTTTTTATCATTATCATATATAAAATTTGAATTATTTCAGGATATTTATCAAGAATAAGAACAAGGGAATTATTAACGATAAGAATAATTATTATTCCATCCTTATTCCAAGAATAATAATTATTCTGTACATAATAAGGATAAGAAGTGCATATTTTGTGTAATACAGAGTTGGTTAATAGGAATTATCAACGATTGTGTATATTGTAACACAAAATGGAGGTACAACAGGTACATGCATTTGTGAAACAGACTCTAATGTTTTGTAAAACCCCGGTAACATGTTACGACGCACGTAGGAGTACAGTTATTGAGTTAAAATACATGTAGAGGCGTGCATTTTTTACAAGTGAAGCAACATTGTTAAATTTAAAACGTGACACACATAATCAAATTTTCCATAACGCGTTATTGATCTCACATTTTGAACTGGAAACTGCCACCCTGTGTATTTTGCAACGCGCTTCGACACACTTATCGGGAATAAAAGGTAACGGTGTTCTTTTAGTGTTTAAAGATCCTGAGGACATTTTTTAAAAATGTCTTTTGAGATATTGCAATTGTATTTTTCATATACTTGTTCTTTAATGAAACTAATGAATTTAGAGGAGATCCAATCAGTAGAAAGAGTATTTAACTATATTTTAAGAAGAAAATTTTCAAGCACAATGGAACATAAACTTATTTAAAATTTATAAAATTCACTTGTATTTCAAGCATCAGGTTATCACTCTTTCATTGCCGTTAATTTATAATTTCGAAAGAAATGTTTTTCACATTAAACATACCAAAGATATACATTCTTTCATTGCCACTAATTTATAATTTCGAAGAAAATGTTACTCAGATTTCACTTATTGTATATATGAGATTTTTCAATTTTGACCGTCTGGAATTAATAGGGATACGTCGTCAATCAAGAGAAACGTCGTATTCACATTTCGTTTATTGGATCCTGAGATTTTTCATTCTGAATGAAAGAACTATGAATTCTTTAACAGAAAACGGTCCGAATTCACGTAATCAAGGAAAAACGACGCAAATCCCGGATTATCCTACAACCCGTTAACGCTTGATATCCAATTAACTATCCCTCACTTCACCGTCTCCATAAAACGCCAAACCCCGATACAACACGCAACAAGTCGATACACACGAAGCCAACGTGACACCCTCCAGCCAACTTGCTCGTAGATAGCTAAGGAATAGTAACTAGTTACGCGGATAAGGGATTGGTAGCTTTACAACTAACGGTACGAGACATCAGAATGGCTTTCAATTAGGGGTATGGACAAACTAACACATTGTACATGTCTGAAACGTGCCTGAAACGGAAAAGACAGGCGACGACGGGATCTGTAGCGCGTTAAACAAAATTCAACTAAGTAACTATTATACGCATATATATATATCTTAGTTCGTATTCGCAGATCTGCCATGTATCAGTAGATTATCCTATTTAGCCGGATATGGCGTTTCTTTCGTTAGCGTTGCAAAAGAATAAAAAACAAAGTATGCAAGAAACAAGTAAGAGCATAAATGAGAAAGAGCAAGAAACCGACGGATCGATGAATCGCATGGTGACCTTTCGTCACGAGACGAGTATAAAACAGCCTAGCCTCTCTTCTATATAGTCGGTAAAACTAGCCTTGTATTTTTCGATATACACATGTCTACCCTAGGTGATTTCCGTTCTCGTTTCTGTTTCCGTTTCCCGTTTTCCGTTTGTTAAGTCTCGACTCCGAAGCGCGGAGATGATTTGAAAACCGGCCTGGATTTTGTAACATGTGCCTCTGGTGTGTGTGTCGACAGCTCGGGAATCGAAAATAATCCGACGGTGTTTTACCGGCTAATGCCTGGCTCTACCGCGCAGACCAACAAGTTTCACACGTTTTACCTTCAGCAACGCTCCGACAATTCCGTCACCTGGGCCGACATCAAGGTTAACCATCCGCTGGATTACGAGAGCATAAAGGAGTACAATCTGACTATACGTGTCGAGGTATGTGTTGAAACGAGACGTTAAGCTTTTCCTTTCTTCTTCTTTTTTTTACTTTAATAATTCTTTTGCTTCTTGAGAAATTACGTGTTTTACAAGCGTTCTGTACTGTGTCTGTCTCTGCTACGAGTGTGCTGCGTGACTGAAGCATTTCAGGTGGAATTTCGCAGCTGTAGCTGCTGCTTTTCGAATGCATCCGTGCGAGATAGTCTGTTGGTAAAGGAGAATCTGCGAACTTGCGGCAACCGAGATGCAGCTGTTTTTAGTTACTTGTTACTGTACGTACAGAGGGGGAAAGCGATGCTATGGCTCGCCTTTTGAGTGAATGCTGCTTAATCCTGCGGGCTTGCGGAATGGTGTAAGAGCATTAATGACTATGTCGCTTTCGAAGTGAACAGGGTACTTTGAGTGGTAGAAAAAATATCATTTTTCACCTCGTGGCAATTCGTGCGGGTGCTTTGAAATAGGGTAACGAAAGATCTGGTCGAATATCTCCGCGTAATCCTTTGAAACTGCCGAGTAAATTAACTAACGTTAGTCCTTACTTTTCGTGTTTCATATTTTACAATTTTTCTTAACTTTCTGTATTTTTGTAAATACGTATTTTGTAATATAAATACATTAGAAGCTTAATTTCTAGGCGCTCCGAGAATTAACAACTGTTACAACTTTGATTTCGTAATTTTTAATTTTCCAACTTAATTCATTGTTCTACCTATGAAAATCGGTTTTCAAATTTGACACGCTTATCGACTTATTGTGAAACATACTTTCTCAAACGATACGTGTCTCATATATCTTACGTTCCCAAGTTTCCACCTTAAAAGCAAGGTTTCGTAATTTTTACTTAACAAGAGACTGTTCTGTATAAAAGCAGCGAATGTCCGTGATTCGTTTAATTAATTCAGTTTAGCAACATCCTCTCTTCTCAGGAGTCTTGCTTTTGAAATTTCTTTGGAAAACGTACGCGTAAGGTAGCGGAAGATCCGTGAAATATCGAGCTACATTCCGTACGGCGGAAAGTATAATTGAATCTTGGCTGCGTTACAGTTTCGAGCTGCTTTCAGTTTTTCAAGGCACGAGCGATACGATGTTGAATGGAGCTGATAAATTTCATAGCGAATGTACTCCTGTTCCTCGCGAAATTGTCGAGTGGCCGCGAAATTAAATAACCGCTGTCCTTTTTCCATTTGGATGCTGGCAGCAGAGAAATTTGAAAATCCGCTTATGAATTGTGGCATTATATTTATTTCAGCGGCGTCTCTTCGTGAAACACTCGTAGTTTCTATGTACTCCTGTGGTAATAAGTACCTCGTTCTCTAACGACGAAGCACGCTTCTCGTCACTTCTATGTTAATGGCTGCAAAACCAGCGAGATAACTTTATTCTCTCGTTCCATTTGCTCGACGCGTTTTTTCCGTGGAAATACATCGTTTTCACTCCACTGAATCATTCAAGATGACGAAGTTTCGTCGCTGTGAACGTTCGTATTTCTTGTATGTTCGTATGAGTTGTCAATTTTCATTATGTGTACTTTACCTTTCTGGATTTTCGAGATCGAGATCATTCCTATTTGTAAAATTGCTCTCTATTCGTTGCTCTGTAGTAAGCACAGACGCAGAGCATGAAAAAGTAACGTGCATTCTGCTCACTCGCGGTAAGGTAAAATATTACTTACTTGTCTCCCTTTTGCGAGTGCAAAATGTGCAAACTTCTGTGTAATTTCATTTTTCCTTGTTCAAAAATTAAAGTCCGCTGTGGGGTAATTTTTGAGAAATTTTGAGACAGAGAATATCATTCGAAAGTTGTGAATTTTTCGGAACTTTCGAGGACGAAAATTTCGTTGAAAAATTGTGAATTTTGGAAAAAATTCGAGGAAAACAATTTCGACTGCACTGTAGTATTTGGGCAGATGCCTTATGGTCGTATGATACATCGTTGGAAAGCGTATAAATAGAGAAGTCCAACATGGGTGATCATTGCTACCGCAAATGTCCCATTCAGAAAGTGATGGCGTAATTTCATGCACACCAATACTGCAGTAATATTTGGAACACATAATTAGTTGCATAAAGTCTCGTCTGAATTCACGCCTAAATATACCTAATGACAAATATTTTTGTAAGTATTATAGAATGATCTTTTTGCAGAAAGAGGGTATTTTTTTCACGGTATTCTAATTTGTCTTGAATTTTCTGAATGGGACATTTGCGGTGACAATAATCATTCGTGTTGAACTCCCCTATTCATACGCTTTCCAACGATGTATCATGTGATCCAATAGGCGCGGGCCCAAATTCTACAATATTACCGAAATTTCTTTTTTATTTTGCTACGATTCTACATTTGTCAGCAATAGACACTTTCAGTCTACAAATAAGGTGAGGTTAATTTAAGTAACGAATTTGCTAATTATAAAGTATTTCAGCTTATCCTACGAATATAAATTTTTCGAATTAATAATTCATTTGTAAATAATAGATGTACGAAGGTACTTATTATCACAGTGCTTGAGGAGTTTTAATTTCGACATATACTACTGTTCGTAGAGTATTAGAACACCTATTGTCCGATCTAAATTACATTTCTTCGCGAAAGTTAGTATCAGAAATAGAAGAGGGCACAGTTTCGTTATTTATCACACACAATAGGATGGTTTTGGTAGATTTTTTAAATTTGCAATGCTTTTTGCATAATGGCGATATCACGAATTTTTATATCATACGAAGTGGTTTGTCGAGACAAATTCGACGATTTTCAAATTCAATTTCGTGACAATGGCATAATCAACGACACACTATTAGGATCTCGCCAATATTTTTATAATAACACCTTGAATGAAAATAGATATTTGGCAGTTTTATCATTCTTTTCAGGACCTTAATAATTTTGCAACGACGGTTTAGGTTTGTTTCACATCCAACAAGTGTTTTAACACTTACGAACAGGAGTGTACGCTAAACTTTTTCTTTCAAATTTAAAGGTATAATAAACAGATCGATGAATCAAGCAGAAAATGTAAGATACATATGTATAAGATAAGAGTAATCCTCTTCTACAGAACAATGGCGCCCAACAACTCGCTTCTGAAGCAACCGTCTACATTGTCCTGGTGGACGTTAACGACGAAATACCTTTGTTCACCGAACGTGAGCAAGAAACTGTACTCGAGGGTGAACCAGTTGGCAGTAAGGTTACTCAAGTCAACGCGATTGATAAGGATGGCACTGTACCGAACAATGAGGTGAGTAGATGTCCTCAGCATCCATTTTGGTCCCACTTCGCTCGCAGATTCCTCGGTTATTCTTAACAATTACTTAGCCAAATTTAGAGAAGTGTTAATATTAAAGTTCGTAAATTAGACGTGTAACTTTGTCTTGCTCTATTTTCTTCTTATCTAATTTTTCATTTTTCTCAAATACAACATAGGCAATTCAGATAAATCCGTCTAATTATTTTTCAAATTTCGAAACTTAGAGACGAATTCGTATTAATGATAACAAATTAGGTGTACAGCTCTACTTTGTTCTTACCTAATTTAACATTTTTTTCAAGTACAACATAAGTGATCGTTATTTTTCAAATTTCGAAACATCGAGCATACTGAAGAAATACTTGTATAAGAATTGTCTAATATAAAGGTGAATACGTACACGGTATCAGCTTTGGTAGATTTAATAAAGTACACAGGGTGGACCAAGTAAAACAGACCACCTAATTATCTTCTCTAGCTATGGCGGTACGAGAAAATTTTTATACGTAATTTAAACGGTTTCAAAGAGCGAATAAGATGGAAGAAAAATTTTTCCCGTTGTTTTCAGAGTCACCTATATCTTTTACACGAACGTATATAGTTTCTGCAAATATGCAAACAGACAAATAACAACCTTAAAATGAGCCTACGCTTTAAAATTTACAATCAAATATGAAACTTCCTTTCAAAATTTCCTCCTACCACTATAGCTAACGAAAATAATTAGGTGGTCTGTTTTACGTGGCTCACCCTGTATAAAGTGTCCGTAATCTATGTATTGTATTAGTTACGCTATGTGAAAATAAGGTTTATTACGAAAGGAAGAATGTTTTCTTACTTTTAAAAATCACACGTCACCCCTTCGAGCTTCTTGGTTACACTTTATTTACTTTTCAGTATTGTATCTTGCAATTCGATGCGGTATTATATGAAAGTTTTTCGATCTTGTATTCATCAACAACTTCCGGTTACCGAATCGAACTCACTGAACTATTAAACAACTGTAAGGGTCAGTTTTCAGATTAAACTCAGGGTTCAATTACACGGTCTAGCTGCTGTATACACCGTGTACCTAATTCATGCATAACGTTCAATCATTAAGGCATAAACTATTTAAAACTGTTCCATGTAACTGTTGGCAAATTATTATTCTATTTGCGACTATTTGAAACGGAATTACTTATTGAAATTTCTGTGTTTCGGAAGTTGTAGTATTGAGAATTGAATTACTTTGAAACTGTTGTGTTTGAAGTTTAATAATTTTGATACGAGTCCCTTAGAGATTCTGTCTCGGAATTGTTAAGGCAAGAGATAGTTTAGTATCGAGTAGGTAACTAAACAACAGTTCAGAAATTAGTATTCTACCGAGAGTTCGATTATTATAGCGTCGCTGTATTTCAATTGATAAAATTAAGTGTTTCTTTTCGGTATCTGTGTAATATTTCTTTTCGTAGCAGCGATATGAACTTTTTGGTTGCGTTATTTATCTCTGCTGATCCATTTGCTTCTGTATGATTTTCATAACTTCAGAATTGATCAGTAATTTTTAATCTATGCATTCAAGTCGGAAGCATATTTGTGAAGCAAATACAGTGTTAATTAGTCAATTAGCGCTTTCATGAAAAATATTGTTCGTGGAATGTGACTTATGTCGGTTCCGTCTTTCAAATAAAACGTAAATAAAAAAAAGATATTGTTTCTACCTTTTGGTAACTTAACAAATAACGTGTAATCGGGTGTACAATTGACAAGTGAAATTAGCCGAAATCACGAGGAATTGAGTAACACGTAAATGTTATCAAAATCGAAAGAATTCCGCGAAAAATTCATTCTGGCGAATCTGGAGGTTTTACAAAAAAAAATGATTGACATAAACGGAAATTGATATTCGTGTATAATAAAATGCATGAAATACTGAAACAAGTATCGGAGATCGATGGTGCAATGTCATTAACCGAGAAGGAATTTCGGAGCATGGAATTGTTTTATAATTTTGATAACGGTATATTAATTAGAATAAGATAACGAAAAATCATTATTCATACATGAGGACACAAAATTTAACGTACCCCGATGAAGATAATATTTCGTTCGTGTAATAAATTCTGTTGTAATTCGTTCGCTTCCCTTTTTTTGCAATTTAAATTTATGGGACTTTCAGCGAGGTAAACTATGATATCAATATTCGAGATGGAACATTCTTTCAGCATTTTACGTTCAATCGTTAGATACGAAATAAAAAAAAAACAGGCAACTAAGTAAAAATATTGTTATTCAAATTTTATAAACGAAACTCGTGTACTGTTTGTTAATTAAAAAAAAAAAAGGACAGTGTTTACAATCCGCATGATTTAAACAGTAACATTCTGTGAAATAAAAGTGCCTGGAAAGATTAAGTTTACAGTAACAATTGTAGAGTAAAAATGCTTATTTTGTCTCGTTATTAGAATCGATAAATATTTGGTCTATGCAAAAGTTCCCATAGTATTTTTTTATAGAATGTGCATTGATTTTTTGTCATAATTATAATTAGCTGCAAAAGAGCACTAATAATATAATTTTAATGCTTCATTCGGTGTACTGACTTAACCGTCTTATTACCATAAATACTAACTGTGAAAATTTAAATTAGAAAAGGAACATACAGTGTCTTTTAGTCATCGATTTTCAAGCGATAGAAACTTTTACATACACCTAATACATTTTCTTAAAAACAGACAAATAACGCTGCAATCTGTATGTTCTTCGATTCTATTAGGTCACCCCATAAATTCGCGTCGAATCTTATAATTTAGACTAATATTTCCAAAGAGTCTTAAAATTTAATAAAAAACAATGTAAGCACCTTCTCATTCCACAACTCTTTTCCTTTTTTTTTTTTCTTTTCTGGTAATAGTATTTTCTTGAATTTTCATTCAAATATTTTGCGCTTACGGGACGACCTACTATTTATCAAGTGTGCAAAGTTCGTGGTGTAACAAACGACAATCTGAGAAACGACACAGCTGAGATGAAATTGTCAGGGACACTTCACTGTCGACACTGTCAGAACCGACAAGAACACGCGGGCTTGCGATCAGTTCTTCCTAATAAATATCATGGCAGCTATCGAGTAAACGGAAATATTATTTCGACCGAAACTTTGTTAATTTCACACAGTGAAATTGTGTTTGTCGAAGTCCCGGTTGCGATGGAAATGCCGTGTAACTTTGTTGCGCCGTGTAATGCCGTTATACTGCAAAATAGCGTAATTAAATTTAATCACGCGAACCTCGCCGTGGTACAATTTAAAACGTCGTACTGTTTCTCTGTGAATAACGCGTCGCGCGCGCAAGTGCTCATGATTCCTTAGCCAAGTATTCACCAACAAGATTTATTCGCCATTGTTACCTTTTTTTCCAACGTTGTAAACAATGGTGTTAGGGGAATGTTTTTGTACTAACAATATGCAAATTTAGTCGCTCTGATAATATTTACGTGAAGTTACCGTTTTCAAGAAAATTGGAGTGTGCCATTCTTTGGCACTTTGTGACATTCTTTTCTTGAACGTATAATTTAGAAAAAGAAAGTTGAAAACTTCTTTGAAAATTTGGGCGAATTTTTGAATTTTCTGTCTTTAAATTTCAAATCGTTGAATCGTCAAATTTGAAAATTGGAGTGTGCCATTTTTTGACATTCTGTGACATTCTTTTCTTGAACGTATAGTCCAGAAAAAAAATTTCTTTGAAAATTTCGGAGATTTTTGAATCTTTCTATCTTTAAATTTCAAATTAAAAATTGTTAAATTCTGAAACCCCTTTTGGATAATTTATTTCAACGTTATTATTATATTTTAAGTAATTCAAATTATAAGCAAGATAAATCACCCGAATTTTAATCGCAACAACCTTCTACTTTTATTTCACCTCTGCAGAAGTAGTTTACATTGACATAAACCTTCTTCTCGCAGAAACTTTTAAACTACATTTTCTTCTTTTTTTACAAAAGAAAGGTACGAACGAAGTAGAGCCAACAGAACTAAGTGACACTTTTTGGTGGAAAATTCCAACGAATGACCAGACCTCGTTAACTCTTAGTAGATTTTATGTGCAGGTCAGAGGGAACAAATAAAAAGCAAATACCATTTTATACATTTTATACATTTATAAAATGTATTTATACATTTTAAAATACGTGTTTGTACACCTTTTGGTTACTGAAGTAACATGCTACCTATATACGCAAATGTCACATTTGTCCATTTTTAAAACCAAGAAAATCTTCCATTTGAAATTACACGCCGGGAGATAACTTCCGTCGTAAATGTTGACAAATTTCCCTGACACTCTTTACACGTGCTTGAAAATTTTACACCACCGAAAGCCACTGTAGTTTCAAATTCTTTAACAATTCCTTTCGTAAGAATTAACAATTTATCCCTACCGTTTCTTTCTGCGTGATTATTCAAATTTCTTTGAAATATGTATTTTCGTAAATCGCGCTGCAAATACGTAAGCTCGCCGAAGAAATCCCCGTTATTCAAAGTATAATCCACGATTACGCATCTGATCATGGAAATGAATTAATTATCTGCTGAAAGCCAAGTTTTCGTTGTCTGCGGTGCAACAGGAAGTATAATCGTTATCATCAGTTACGCTCGTAGTTATTGATAGCACGAGCGTTATTAATTGCATTCTCCCTTTCAATTAATTTAATTGATACCTTTATCGATATTATTGCTTCGTCAGTTTGAATTTTGTTCCCAACATCCCCTGAATGTGTCTGTTTGCGGTACTTCCATCAGAAACTTCTCCCTTTTTCCTTTCTTTTTCTTTCATCGTAAAACACGACGAACGTGTTTTCTTTCTTTTTTTTTTTTTTTAGATTTACCGGCAGTCGTTCGGATACACTGATTTCTTGATTCAGTACGGTGTTCCTCCTTTTTTCGCGCAAATATTTTTCCAGACGTACTTCGATAGATTTTCGTTTACACGTAAACTCTATGAAGTCTCTGGAAAGCGCGTGGGTACTTTTGTGTTCTTTTTCTCTCTCTCTCTCTCTCTCTCTTAGCTTTTTTCCCTTTTCTTTTTGTTTTTGTTTAAACTTCCAGGAATGTCGCGAACGTTGAGAGTTACTTCCCGTCTCGAATAAAACCGGCACGAATGGGAGGATAGAAAAAAAAACGTGGTCGGTGTACACGAAACGTTTCTGCTTAGAAATTATTGGTTTAGAAGTTTCGATTTATTGGAAATTGCAAGATATGTTACAATTATTAACGCTGGCTTTTATCTTGGAATTTTATCGGTTTAATTAAGGAAGTATCCGTTGCTTGTAGAAATTTTATTCTAGAGGTACTTTTTCCTTTACCTTTTGTCTTTATTTATTATTGTTATTTTAAAAGTATTACTTTAAAAGAAGGTTTCTCTTTTCTTTTCTCGAATTTTTCTGCTATCTTGTAATAACATCCATTTATTTGCTTGATTTATTATTGAATGTGAAACAAACTTGTTGGAAAAATTTCACGGAAAACTGTGTAATATTTTGTTTTTAAATGAACAGTTTTTAACTGGAAATGTATAAATATGTTGCTGGAATTTGACGGTTTACAGATTTACTAATATACGTTATCGACATTAAATTTAATTAATTGCTTTTGTTTATTCACGTTTATTTAACTTTTCTCTTACAGTATATTCGCGAATGAATTTATTTTTAAATGTAAAAATCTTTAGTTACTTATTCTGCACATATACACACACACACGTGTAAAATACGTTTATTGTATTACGAAAAGAAGAAATACATTCTTTCTTCGTTAAAAACTGTATATCAGTAATTAAATACATAGTAACAAGAGAAAGAAACATGCACAATATAAGAATCTGTGGAGTATTTGAAATTTCACATGAAAAACTGTGCGTCGCGAGATATCTCGTCTGAAGCTTTGCGTGATATCTCGTTTCAAGCGTCGCGAAATATCTCGTCCGAAGCGTTGCGAAATATCTCGTCCGAAGCTCTGCGTGATATCTCGTCCAAAGCGTCGCGAAATATCTCGTCCCAAGGGTCGCGAGATATCTCGTCCAAAGTGTCGCGAAATATTTCGTCCAAAGTGTCACGAGATATCTCGTCCCAAGGGTCGCGAAATATCTCGTTCAAAGTGTCGCGAAATATTTCGTCCAAAGCGTCGCGAAATATCTCGTCCGAAGCGTCACGAGATATCTCGTCCGAAGCGTCACGAGATATCTCGTCCCAAGGGTCGCGAAATATCTCGTCCAAAGTGTCGCGAAATATTTCGTCCAAAGTGTCACGAGATATCTCGTCCCAAGGGTCGCGAAATATTTCGTCCAAAGTGTCGCGAGATATCTCGTCCCAAGGGTCGCGAGATATCTCGTCCAAAGTGTCGCGAAATATCTCACCCCAAGCGTTGCGAAATATCTCACTCAAAGCTTCGCGAGATATCTCGTCCCAAGCGTCGCGAAATATCTCGTCCGCGTAAGCGAAGACGTTAACCCTTCACTATAAGTGTCCTAGTACTTATGAATGGGAGTGTAGTCATTAACCTCAAATCTTACTTCTTTTCTACTCATACCACCCCTCATTGTTGACACATTTCAATTCACAATCGATTCCATTCTTCCTCTTCTCAGGTCACCTATTATATCGTGGACAGCGACAGGAACGAGGGTAAAGATTACTTCGAGATCAACCGGGAGACGGGCGAGATCGTGACGAAGGTGATGTTCGATCGTGAGAAGCAGAGCGCTTACGCGTTGGAAGTGGAGGCCAGGGACGGTGCACCATCTGCGAGGCCCAACAGCAACGGTCAGCCGAATTCGGGTATGTAGATCGTTGAATTTCCTCTCACGGTGTGCTTTCACCGTTTGAACCAGTGGCCTGGCCACGGTCCACGTACACCATTCGACACGAAAATATCGGCCAGTTGTTCGAAATTGAATCTGCTCGAAAGGAAAGTGCCCACGGATCCGGGATAAACTTAAGCCGGAACGTACAATCGTATTTCCTTATGCAAAAGTAGGGTGGAAGGCTGTCATGTTCCTCCTTGAATCGCGTCCGTTCGCTGATTTAGGAACGATCGATTTGCGAATTTCCTTCGGCGTGGACCAAAATAGAGGCGTGGTCCAAGTGAAAACGAGCTTCGACACTCGTGAATAGAGGGTGGGAATAGAAGTCGGCGGGGAAATGACTGGTAGAAGTGGAAGTTGAACTCTGAAGACGTTCAGATGTAGTTAGTTGTCGAAATGGTAAGAGACTGAATAACGTGACAAGTTTTTTTTTTTCTTCTCTTTGGGTAACTTCGTAGGAAAGATGTCCTATCGTGATAGCGTTGTCTCCGTTTTCAAAGATAGAACGCGGTTTCAAGTATCCGTGGGTTACATTAGGAGGCACTTAAGAACATTTTTGATGGGATTATGAATACTGTACTAGTTTCGCGAGCGAACTTCCTTCCTTTATAAATTAGGGAAAAAGCTTGCTTTGCATTTGAAAGCGACACGTAAGCCACTTTATTCAGTGAAACTGTGGCCTATCTAACTGCCGGGTATCAAACAGAATTCCAACTTTAATGCCGCAGCTGGAAATATGGTTTCTAATGAAGTGAAAGGAGGGGTTGAAAAGATCAGCTTGAAAGAATAGCATTTTTCACTGCATTTAACGAGATAAATAGCACCTTGTAAAAATATTTCAATTGATTTGTATCACGTTGTACGTATATCGGTTGAGGTTAAAGCTAAAACTAGTTAAAAAATAATTAAAAGCTTTTTTTCACAATTTCATGACCAATTTTTCCAGATATTTTTCTATTTTCTACTTTGCAATGAAATTTGAAAATTTGTGCATTGCTCCTTGAGTAATATTTTCCAATAGCTTTAAGAATGTTTCGCAGTACGAGTATCCCAGTTTTATCGGTATAAATTAGAAATACTAAAGTTGAATTTTATTTTTGGCCATTCCGCTTTCATCAAAATTTTTCTACTGTTTTACGACCACTGACTATTTCTAACGTTCATTTATGCATCTGAGCATACCTTTCTAGGTCAGGTTGAATTTTATTAAATTTGCCCTTTCTCGGAAAGTTGAATATTCCTTCTCTTCTTGTCGTGAAAGTTTTATCGGTCGACTGTTTGATAGATGTAATTTTCCTATTTCGACGAAAGGAGGCTATCGACAATCTTCTTATGATATTAGTTGATTATCCGGTGTACTTAGACGTACAATTTCTAAAACGAAAATTTAATTCAACGAAATTTCACGAAAATGTAAAATCAAATTTTATATCCCTAATTGGACACAAAAACTATGGCAGTTGTTATCAAGTAAAATTTTATTTGTACAAAGTTTCACAATTACCGGTTAGGATAAATGTAGAAATATGAAATACCAAACGTTCATTTCGACTGTGGTATCAGAAAATTTCAACGTTTGTCAAACTTTCAGGGTAGTATTTCTCAACGACAATGGGAGCGAACAATACGCATAAATTTTTAACACAAGCACACATCTATCATGCAAATTAATATCGTACTCCTGAATTTTGTCGGTATTGTCATTTATTTCCATCGTTCAAACATTTAATTTCTAACTGTTTTCGACAAATTCGAAAAAAGCACATGTGCAACATAAAAGCTCGCATCTCTATGGGAGAAAGCCACAGAAATTGTCCTCACGTCCATGTATTTCAATTAAAATACCTACCATCAATTTCAATTACTGTTTTCTCTAAAAACAAGTAAATGAATACATAAATCAGAACAGTACATTTTAACGTTTCACCAATTGTGATACAATAATTTATCGAAAGGAACCTCTGAATCTCTCAAGGGAACGTCCCGGAAGTAACAATAAAAGCGGCAGGCTTTCGAAAATTCGAGAGATGGAGGAATGGTAAAAGTGGTAAAAATTTGAAAAATATAAAATTATTTATTATTTTTCAAATTTGTCGTTGAAAAGTACAAAATTCGTCGATTTACATTGCTCCTCCATCTCTGCTAGATTTCGAGATATTAAACTAAACTTACCACCTCCAACTTTGGGGGCAATTTTCACCCTTCAATGTGGACGAGAGCCAAAAAAAAAAAAATACCTGTCGAATATTTTTTTGAGATCTGTCACATACCAAAGTTTCATCAAAATCGATGACTATCATTTGGGAATGTTTCTTTGTGAGAAATATTGCGCTTGGAATTTTCGCAAAGAGAACTTAACTTTAGGGACACTTGAATCTCTAGAAAATTGATGCGAATGATAGTCTATCGGTGATAATAATTTAAGGATGTTCCTCTGTCACTATCTTCGGGTTCGTCAAAATTCTTCTCTTCGTCCATCGACATGCAGCATACACGAAATACCTAAATTCGAAACGAAATTACCATTTCACCGCTGCGCGCAATTCTTCGGCGATTACTCGCATCAAAGGTCGAGAACGCGATTCCACGGCCTGGAATCTTTTTCCGAACGCTCAAAGACCCGAATTTGTCGGCGAGCGCGTTGAACACCGTTTCTCCCTTGGCCCGCTTTACAATTCCGTTCTAGATTGCAAATTTATCGGTCCGCCGCGACACAGTATTCAATTCCTTGGCTAACACCAATGTAACCGACGTGTCCACGTGGAATTTGCAATCGCATAATGTTTGTCCGGCAAATTACTCCGCACGTGTGCTTAAGGAGCAAGCCAATTGGTCACGTTCGCGTAACTTTTCACGGAGGACGTAACTATTATTATGTATGCCATGTGTACCGATTGTTTCGCGTCCAATCAGCCGTGCACCGTCGAAATTTTGTTTCGTCGTGGAAACTCTCGACCGCAATCGAGATAGCAACAGCTGAAATACGAAATTTATGACGTTTCCGGGTGAATGGGATTCATGTGCAATTGATATGTGCATTTATAGTGTAACTGTTACTTTATGCCCGGTATTATGCAATTGCGTAATGTACCGCAGGTAGATTTTTATTAAGAGGATACACAGGTTTGGGAAGCTTGGGAATCTTTTTCGGAGGTAACTGGTAAATGAAAAGTTTCAATTTTTTCAGAGGATCTAAGTTTCAGCTTTCCTCTGCAACGTTACAAAATGAAATGTCTCGATTGCTGGCCGCCGTCGCTGGCAAAGATTGGAACGTCTGAAATAAAATATTCTTCTTGATTTGTAAATGAAAATGTAGCTTACGATTTTTTCGATATGTCAGTTTTTAATTTTTTAGAAATATTCAAAGTTGATTTTTTTTTTCGTAAAAAGAGGTTTATCTTCTTCAAACTACCACCTGTAATAATGACAATTTTCTAAAAATCATACGCTACGTTGTGTATGACACATTTTTATTACATTTATACAATCTTTGACGACGATGACGATGTCAAGTGATTTCGCAATTACCGCATAATTCCTCCACTTTGTAGAAATTGGAGAGGAAAGCTGAATGTCACATTATTATCCTCTGAGAAAATTGAAACCTTTCATTTAGTAGTTACCTATGAAAAAAATGCCCAAACTTCGCGTACTTTTAGACGCCTCAGGGTGGTTTACCCCCTTAAACTGAAATTCGCGTAGAAGATTGAATAGTTTGCAAATTGATCCACGAGTTTATCTGCCTGTTTCTGTACGTCCGTGGTAATGAAATTCTTGCAACAACTGCGCAATTCTTCTCTTTTTAACAAAATAAAAAGTCGAAGAAGAAACAGTTTGGTATGTCATTAATTTCACTCTACTTCCATACACATCATAAATTGCAAATTTCTCGATTGATCTATCAAGTTTCAACGTTAAACTGGCAGACTTGGCAACTTTCGAAACTTCTAAACTAAAGAATTCGATTTACCTCTAATTTTCTCGAAGGTTATCTCCGAAATATCTTCCAGTATACATGAAACAATTAACGTTCAAATTTTCCTTATAGTTCTCGCAAGGTAGTAACATACTTCAAACACTTTGCACCATGTGTGATTATCGAAGCTTTAACGAATTTGAACAATTTTTCATTTAGTAGCAGCAAGCATCGCTGCTCTCTGAGATTACGCTTTTATTGTTAACATTACAAGTCTCAGATTCTTGGAATAATTTTCCACAATTTCTGGGAAAGCAATTAACTATAATCCAGTTCTTTTCCCGAAAAATTTAACTCCGGCGTACGGTATTTTTCACTCTCTTTGCGTTAGTTGCTCAAAACCTGTCCGACATCAGAGACAGCGTAGGAATATTTAAGTATTAAATACTTGAACTGCCAACGAGAATATTTCTCGTTGCTGTTATTGGATTATGGGAGTTATGGATTGTTAAATAATTAATAATCCTTATTTTAAACTATAAACTTTTACTTGACACAAGGAAGGCTCGCTTTTCTACTTGATGGCAAGAGCACTGTATACAGACTGAGAATGCTCCTACGCAACGTCCTAATACTGCCTACGACCCCGCTTGGAACCGAAGGGCCTTTCGTCACGTATCATAAACATTTAGATCTTTACTAAATAGAGGTGGTAAAGCTAAACGGATTTCTCCGAACGTGTACAAAAGAAATATGTTAGGGGCTTGCGGTTGATCTTTCGATCGTTCAAGCTTTGCCGGTTTTTGCACGTGTGTGCCGACTAATGTTCTAAGGCTTCGAAGGACCAGTTTCTTGATTGAAACACTAAGTTTTTATTTTATGTTCTATTTTCTACAACTAATTCAAGATATAAATTCTACTGCGAAGTGAGAGGTGTTAGTGTTTCTCCCGCGAGTTGCAAAGTGTTTCTGCTGGAGTCTCTGCGATTTCCCTCGACGAAGACTCTTATTTTCCTAAAAACACCCTGATTGGTGATTTTTCCTTTTCTAAATCACCAATCAGTTTA